AGTAGATTCGTTTATGAATTAATTTTTCGAAGATTTTTGAGAGAGGGTGTAAGTTGGATATTGGCCTATAGTTATTCAACTCTGTTTGGTCTCCTCCTTTGTGGATCGGGGTGACCCTTGCTATTTTGAGTACTGTAGGGAAGGTGGAGGATTCAATGGATTTGTTAAAGAGTGTTGCAATGATTGGTGATAGCACTTGTGACACTTTTTTGTATATAAAGGGTGGTAAGGTATTTAAATCTCCTGCCTTGTTTTTTAGTGTGTTGATAATAAGGGAGACTTCATATGGGTTAGTCGGAGCTAGGAACAGTGTGTTCGGGTAGTTGCCGGTGAGGTAGTCATTTGGTGGGGTATCTGAGCTTGGGATTTTATTGGCAAGGTTTTGTCCTATAGTGGAGAAGAAATCATTGAGTCTGTTTGCTGTTTCTGTTGGTGGGAGTTGGGGTTCATCTGATTTTGCTAATTTTATTTCGCTATTTCGTGATATCTTTTTTGTTCCCAGAATTTCTGATAGGGTTTTCCAGGTCTTTTTTATATCACCTCGTAAGTTGGATAATCTGTTCTCATAATACTCTGGCACCAATGTTCACCCTGATTCATTAAATTCCTCTGACCTTCACTCTGACCATGCTGCTGGCTTCTCCCATGACTATCACTTTTCAGATTAATCAAGCATCATAGGACAGACTGGCTTGAAGCCATTCTTCAAACAACCTCAACCATACTAGACTGTCTTGATGCTGCTGCCGCTGCTGATACTACTATTAATACTACAATTAATACTACTATTAATACTACTATTAATACTACTATTAATACTACTATTAATACTACTACTACAAATACAACTACTACTAATACTATACTTCTACTAATACTATTTTACTACTAATACTATTTTACTACTAATACTATGTTACTACTATTTTACTACTAATACTATTCTACTGCTACTATGTACTATTAATTCTTCTACTACTAATACTACTACTATTAATACTGCTACTATACTACTACTACTATACTACTACTACTATACTACTACTACCATACTACTACTACCATACTACTACTACCATACTACTACTACCATACTACTACTACTACTACTACTACTACTACTATACTACTATTTATTTATTTATTTATTTATTTGAACATGATACAGGGAAGTACAAAGGAATGCAATTATTACAGTGTAACATGCCAAAGCCCCTTGTATGCAGAGCATTATGGGCAGGCTTATAATTCACTTAAGATTAACTAAGCAATGATATATTCAGTGGTAAAAACATCATTGTAAACAGATAATTTAGCACAAATGAGTATTACAAAGACAGGTCATATGGTCATTTACTGTGTTGCTGAGCATTCAGTAGAATGGAGTATTCTGTTATGTAATGTAATTAAAAAAATGACAAAGTTTGATTGGGTCACAGGTTAGACATTTATGAGATACAATAATGAGAAACATTTATGACATACAATTTATGTGATACAATTATTCAGTATTTATTTAGTTGTGGGTGAGTAAGTGATTTTTGAGAAGAGACTTGAATTTATAAACAGACAGTGTTTCTTTTATATTCACAGGTAGTGAATTCAAGATTTTAGGGCCTTTTATGTGCATTGAGTTTTTGCATAGCGTGAGGTGGACACGAGGAACATCAAAGAGTGATTTGTGCCTTGTGTTATGGTCATGTGTTCTGTTGAGGTTGGTAAGGAGACGTTTGAGGGGAGGGTTTATATCAGAGTTAAGTGTTCTATGTATGTAGTAGGTGCAGTAATAAATATGGAAGTTTTGTATGGTGAGTAGGTTTAGAGTTTTGAATATTGGTGGAGTGTGCTGCCTGTAGTGGGAATTTGTTATCATTCTGACTACAGCCTTTTGTTGGGTAATTAATGGTCTGAGATGGTTTATTGTTGTTGAGCCCCATGCACAAATTCCATAGGTGAGATAGGGGTAAATAAGCGAGTGATATAGGGCCAGGAGGGCTGACTGTGGAACATAGTACCGTATCTTCAATAGTATGCCTACGGTTTTGGAAATTTTTTTGAAAATTTGTTGTCAGTGTTTAGAGTAAGTTTGTTAGTCCTCATCCAGGTAGATATTTTCTGTAATTCGATATTTACAGTATTGGCTAGCATGACTAGGCTCGGGCGAGAGAAGACTTATGTAGTGTCATCTGCAAATAGTGTGGGTTTGAGTAGTTGCGATGCATTTGGTAGGTCATTTATGTATATGAGAAAGAGAAGAGGGCCTAGGACACTTCCCTGTGGGACACCAACTGTAATTGGCTGTGCGGAAGAGTTTGCCCCGTTTGTGTACACATATTAGTTTCTGTTGCTGAGATAAGACTTTAGGTAGTTGAGGGAGTGCCCTCTTATACCATAGTGCGACAATTTTATATGGAGCAAGTCATGGTCAACTGTATCAAAAGCTTTATATAAGTCAATGAAGATCCCCATTGGAACTTCTTTTTTCTCTATTGCAGTGTATGTGTGTTCTAGCATGTGTATAATAGCATCGTTAGTATTTTTATTAGGCCTGAACCCAAATTGACAGGGGTTGAGTATGTTGTGGGAGATGAGGTAGGAATAGATTCACTTATGAATTAATTTTTCGAAGATTTTAGAGAGAGGTATGGAGAGAGTATGGAGGAGGTGAATGCATTCAGATATTTGGGAGTGGACGTGTCAGTGGATGGGTCTATGAAAGATGAGGTGAATCATAGAACTGATGAGGGGAAAAGGGTGAGCGGTGCACTTAGGAGTATGTGGAGACAAAGAACTTTGTCCTTGGAGGCAAAGAGGGGAATGTATGAGAGTATAGTTTTACCAACGCTCTTATATGGGTGTGAAGCATGGGTGATGAATGTTGCAGCGAGGAGAAGGCTGGAGGCAGTGGAGATGTCATGTCTGAGGGCAATGTGTGGTGTGAATATAATGCAGAGAATTCATAGTTTGGAAGTTAGGAGGAGGTGCGAGATTACCAAAACTGTTGTCCAGAGGGCTGAGGAAGGGTTGTTGAGGTGGTTTGGACATGTAGAGAGAATGGAGCGAAACAGAATGACTTCCAGAGTGTATCAGTCTGTAGTGGAAGGAAGGCGGGGTAGAGGTCGGCCTAGGAAAGGTTGGAGGGAGGGGGTAAAGGAGGTTTTGCGTGTGAGGGGCTTGGACTTCCAGCAGGCATGCGTGAGCATGTTTGATAGGAGTGAATGGAGACAAATGGTTTTTAATACTTGACGTGCTGTTGGAGTGTGAGCAAAGTAATATTTATGAAGGGATTCAGGGAAACCGGCAGGCCGGACATGAGTCCTGGAGATGGGAAGTACAGTGCCTGCAGTCTGAAGGAGGGGTGTTAATGTTGCAGTTTAAAAACTGTAGTGTAAAGCACCCTGCTGGCAAGACAGTGATGGAGTGAATGATGGTGAAAGTTTTTCTTTTTCGGGCCACCCTGCCTTGGTGGGAATTGGCCAGTGTGTTAATAAAATAAAAATAATTTAGAGAGAGGGTGTAAGTTGGATATTGGCCTATAGTTATTCAAGTCTGGTCTCTTCCTTTATGGATCGGGATGACCCTTGCTATTTTGAGAACTGTAGGGAAAGTAGAGGATTCTATGGATTTGTTAAAGAGTGTTGCAATGATTGGTGATAGCACTTGACACTTTTTTGTATATAAAGGGTGGTAAGGTATTTAAATCTCCTGTGTTGTTTTTTAATGTGTTGATAATAAGGGAGACTTCAGTAGGGTTAGTCGGAGCTAGGAACAGTGTGTTTGGGTAGTTGCCAGTGAGGTAGTCATTGGGTGGGGTATCTGAGCTTGGGATTTTATTGGCAAAGTTTTTTCCTATAGTGGAGAAGAAATTATTAAGTCTGCTGTTTCAGTTGGTGGGAGTTGGGGTTCATCTGGTTTTGTTAATTCAATTTCACTATTTCGTGATATCTTTTTTGTTCCTAGAATTTCTGATAGGGCTTTCCAGGTCTTTTTTATGTCACCTCGTAAGTTGGATAATCTGTTCTCATAATACAATTTTTTAGCCCTTCTTATCAGGCTGGTTAGGATTGACGAGTAACATTTTGTTTGGTCTCTGGTTATGTGACCCATTCTGTACTGTTTTTTTGTATAGGTGCTTTGTATTTATGGATTTGAGGATGCTGGGTGTTAGCCAGGGACTGTTCAGTCTCTTAGCTGTCATCTGTTTAGTTTTTTGGTGGCAGTGCTTGTTATAGAGGTATTGGGTCTCTTTTAGAAAATTATTAATACATTCATCAATACCTGTATAGATCTCTAGCTCAGTGTGCCAGTCAATGTTTGTCACTGCTGCTGTGAAGTTATTAATGGCTGCCTCATTGTGAAGTCTGAAAGTGACTTTAGTAGTGTCTATACTACTACTACAACAACTACTACTACAAAAACTACAACTACTACTACTATTACCACCACTACTACTACTACTACTACTACTACTACTACTACTACTACTACTACTACTACTACTACTACTACTACTACTACTACTACTACTACTACAACTACACCCTCCTACTTCACCCTCCTACTCTATTCTATTCTAAGAAATACTATTTAGAAGCCTCTTTACCTACAAGTCATATATCAAAGGCAATTCTAGACAAAAATACTTTTTTTCTGCCACCAACAAGACTTAGTGATCACCTTGTGTCCAGTGGTAGTTTTTGCTGTTGTAAAGGTTAGGTGACAATAGCATATGCTGACAAATGATAATTAAAAGACACTTAAGGTAGGGACAACATTTTTTTAAGGCTTTCCACCCACAGTGTCACCTTGTTATCCACCATGGGGCTTCATCACCCACTTTGCCCAATTATCAAGTATTTAGCAACTCTGAAGGGTAATGAAGCTTGTCTTAGGCATAAAGCATCTATTAGGAGTAATAAAGCAACTTAGAATGCTTGTCTAAAGCATAAAGCATCTCTTAGGAGTAATGAAACATCTCTGAGGGTAATAAAACATTCACAGGGGTTATAAAGCATTTCTTAGGGATAAAGCATCTCTGAGGGTAATAAAGCATCTCTTAAGAATAATGAAGCATTAAGAATGATAATACAGCATCTCGTAGGGGTAATAAAGCTTCTCTGAGGGATAATAAAGCTCTAATGTAGATCTAGGGTGTAAAATAAATTATCCATTGTCACCAAATTATTGGAGAGCTTGGTATGGCTGTCCAGGCTTGGTGTAAGCTCCTCCGTGTGCTGCCCAGTCTAGGAAAGACCCGTGATACAGTCTGAGTGAAGGAGAAACATCAAAATGGTTAGCTTATGTAAATTATTGATCAGAGGCCATGACCAGCAAATTGCAAACAATTAATATAAGGGCCCTCACCAAATTTAACTCAAACAACAAGAACATGGACTGGGATCAAATCATTCACTTTGATGAAACATTGTGGGAAGATATATTTAAGGACATTGATCCAGACATGTGTTTAGATAAGATTAACTCTGTGGCAGTTTAAGTATGCTCAGTGCACATTTCCCTAAGAAAAAGGAAGAGATGATGTAAACTGGAAAGAGAGAGAGATGTTCCCTCTGCAGGTGAAGATAAAGAATCGCAGTGCTTCTCAAAGGGGCTAGACTATCTAAAGTGCAGAAGGAAACACTGACTAGGGAAATAGAAAATACTGAACTTAAATGAATCTTACAGGACCTCAGATGAGGAACTAAAAGCTATAAATGAAATCGAAAGAAATCCCAAATATTTCTTTTCATATACCAAATACAAGGTAAAAACCCCATCCAGTATTGGGCCTTTGCTTAAACAAGATAGGGCTTCCAATGATGACAGCAAAGAAATGAATGAGATACTGAAACCTCAATATGATTTTAGTGAGTTGTTAATCAGACTCAATAGATAATCTGCATTATTTTTTATATACGAGTCCCAAGTCTCATCGACATTTCCAAAGTTTTTGACACACTGGACTTTGAAAAAGCCATTGACAACATGTCCATGCACTCTGCCCCAGGCCCAGACTCGTGGAACTCAGTGCTCCTCAAGAACTGTAAGAAACCCCTATCATGTACCTCATATATTCTATGGAGAGGGAGCCTAAATATGGGGATTATCCCACAGTCACTAAAAATAATAGATATTACCCTGCTCCACAAAGGTGGCAGTAAAGTGATAGCAAAGAATTATGGACCAGTAGCACTAACATCCCACATCATAAAAATCTTTGAAAGGGTTCTAAGAAGCAAGATCGCCACCCACTTGAATACCCAACAATTGCACAACCCAGGGCAGCATGGGTTTAGAGCAGGTCACTCCTGTCTCTCACAGCTAGTGGACCACTATGACATGGTCATAGTGAAAGTGTGGCATGGAGGAAAATCCTGCTGGAAAATGCCTTCTCCATCAAGAAAGTCTCTATCCGCATTGGGAAGCAAATAAGTTGCCAGGATTGCCTTGGAGGACAAACAGAATGCAGATGTAGTATACACAGGCTTTGTAAACTACTTTAACAAGTGTGACTTTGGTGTAAATGTGTGATAAAGGAATAACATGAAAAGTGGGTAAATTGATCTTTAACTTTCTATCCAAGAGAACACAAAGACTAATACAGTGGAACTCCAAGTTTCGGCTGCCCTGAGTATCAGCCACTTCGAGTTTCGGCCACTTTTTTCGGCTAAATTTTGTCCTGAGTTTTGGCCATTGCCCTGTGTTTCGGCCGGCATACCAGACCTGTCTGCCTCCCCACATAGGCGTCATGAGCCAGTCTAGATTTGTGTATCCTTGAGTGAACATTACCTTGCGTGCTCATCCAAACTTTTCACATTGTGTTTAGTGCTTGTTTATTAATTGTGACTGAAATAAGCCACCATGGGCCCAAAGAAACCTCATAGTGGCAGTGAGGTAATGGTTGAAGCAGTGGTGGAGACAGTGGTTGAGGCAGTGAGGGAGGCAGTGGTTGAGGCAATAATAAGTTCTCCCTATCTTCCAGATACCAACAAGAGTCTTCAATAAAGGTACGTAAATGTGATTTTAAATATGTATTTATTTATTGTACTACTCATTTAATACTATATGTATGTTTTAAGTACTGTATGTATGTTAAACTATAGTTATTCTTTAAAAAATATATTTTTTGTGAATATTTTTGTGGGTCTGGAATGGATTAATTGTATTTACATTACTTCTTATGGGAAGTATTTCAATAGTATTTCTTAGGGGAAATATTGCTCCTGGAACAGATTATGGCTGAAACTCGGGGTTCCACTGTAATAGTAAACAGAGTTAAGTCAGAGGCTGCCACAGTGAACATCTCTGTTCCACAGGGTACCATACTCACCCCCCATCATTTTTGTGTTCTTCATATCTGATGTAGACAGAGAAGTAAACCATAGCACCATGTTTTCCTTTGCAGACAATACTAGAATTTGCATGAGTCATCCACTGAGGACACTAAATCTTTAACCCTTTCAGGGCTTCTGACATACTAGTACGGCTTACGCACCAGGGTTATTGACGTACTAGTACGCCTAAATTCTAGCGCCTTTAAATCTAGTGAGAGAAAGCTGGTAGGCCTACATATGAAAGAATGGGTCTATGTGGTCAGTGTGCACAGTATAAAAAAAATCCTGCAGCACACAGTGCATAACGAGACTGTGTTTTTGGTTTAAAACAGCGACTTTGCAGTGCATTTTTGTATGGTGTTTATGGTTGTATTCTAGTTTTCCTGGTCTCATTTTATAGAATGGAAGACATATTACAGAAATTGAGATGATTTTGATTGGTTTCATAATGAAAAGTACCTTGAAATTGAGCTCAAAGTAGCAGAAATGTTCAATTTTTACGCAAGTTCAAAAGTAAACAAATCATGCCTAGCGTCCAATACACGTCAACTGGTGAGTCTAATATTCTTTCACAAGTGCGCTGATATTATTTATACCATTTCTACACTAATGTAGTAGTCTACATAACAGTAAATCTTCTATTTTTTTGTGAGAATAAAAATTCAAAGTGGAAAGCAAAAGAATTGTAAGAGGGGCCTGGGGACGTGACTAATGAACAGAGAAAATTTTAATTTAGTGCCAGGAATGTCTATCTTGTTTATTCTGGACCCTATTTGGAAATTGGCATCTTCTGAAATTTGTGTGTAATTGGCAAAATTGCCAATTTCTGACCATTTTATTGGATAGTTGAAATCGATAAATGGGTGGTTTCTTGTACTCATTTGATAGAAAAAATGGAGTTCTAGCGAAATAGATATAATTTTTGTCGACTAGTACACTGGAATTGGCTGAAAACAGGGCTCAAAGTGGGCGAAATTGCCACTGCAGAAACATCGTCGAGACCACTAACTTCACGAGAGCATAATTCTGTAAGTTTTCCATCAAATTTCATACTTTTGGTGTCATTATGATCGGGAAAAGTTCTCTATCATTTCATAAGAAAAAATAATTTTTGTTTTTTCTGAAAAATTTTCGACCCTGAGAACGAGTTTAGGAGAGGGCCTCTTGACCCTGAAAGGGTTAAGCAGATATAAACCAAATTTTCCAACAGGCTGCAGAAAACAATATGAAGTTCAATGAGAATAAATTCCAGCTGTTTCATTATGGAGGCGAGGCAAACTTGAGGAAATAAGAGCTAAAAACGAGTACAAGACGAATTCTAACCATACAATAGAGGAAACAACTAATGTAAAGGACGTAGGGGTGATATTGTCAGAGGATCTCACCTTCAAGGACCACAACAGTGTCATTACCACAACTGTGAGGAAAATGATAGGATGGATAATGAGAACCTTCAAAACAAAGAATGCCAAGCCAGTGATGATCCTCTTTGTCACTTGTTCTCTCTAGGCTGGATTACTGCTGTACACTAACAGCCCCTTCCAGGGCAGGTGGAATTGGAGATCTGGAAAATGTACAGAGGACCTTCACTGCACATATACGTTCAGTAAAGCACCTAAATTACTGAGAACATTTGAAGTCTCTTGACCTGTACTCCTTGGAGTGCAGACAAGAAAGTTACGTCATAATTTACACCTGGAAAATCCTAAAAGGTCTGATCCTAAATTTGCACACTCCTTATGAAAGCAAAAGACTCAGCAGACAGTGGAACATTCCCCAATGAAGAGCTGGGGGTGTTAAGAGTACTATGAGAGAGAGAGAAAAACAAGTGCCAGGGGCCCAAGGCTGTTCAACAGCCTCCCATCATATATAAGGGGGATTACCAATAGACCCCTGACTGTCTTCAAGAGGGAGCTAGACAGATACCTAAAGTCAGTGCCTGATCAGCCAGGTTGTGGTTCATTCTTTGGATTGCCTGTGGCCAGTAATATTAGCCTGACTGATCATTCCCTGATCCACCTTGAGGCCTGGTAATGGACCGGGCTGCAGGGGCGTTGACCACCAGAGCACCTTCAAGGTAGACTCCAGGCTGGGGGAAGGGGAGGTAATCAGACTTGATCTGAGGAGGTTAAAGATGGCTTCATTTCCTTGGATACCATTCCTTTCACAAGCACCAAGACTCCCACCTATAAAAGGCTAGTTTGGAGTAACTGTATCATGTTAATAACAGAATACGTACATACATAAACTTTTTAAATTTATATCTGTGAATGGGTAAACCTGTACTCTTCAATATGTAGTCGAGTCACAGCTCCTGTGCTGACCATTCAAAGGTGGATGTTTGAGCCTCCGTCTCCTCAATCAAGAGACAGATTACTGCTTTTGCTTCTATATTAAGGTCCTTAATTGTGCCTAATAAATCCATAAATTAAGAACCTTACTTATCCTTGGTGAATCATTAACACTTGAACCTTACTTGTGCTTCATGAACCATTAAAACTAGGACCTTACTTGTGCTTGTTGAATCATTGACCCCTAAACGGTCCAAACATATATATACGTCCACTCGCGTAGCGCCCCAAATTTTTTGAGAAAATTTTTTTTTTAATAGGAAAAAAGAGCATATGGTACCCAGGCATCCCCAATTATTTTAATATGGCGCACAATGAGTACACACACCCATTCTCTCATGTCTAGGTGACTCAGGCTTATCATGGCAATGATGAATGAATGACAAAGAAAACGTATACAGTGTATATACGTTTGGGGCGCTACGCACGTGAATGTATATATACGTTTGGACCGTTTAGGGGTTAAACCTAGGACCTTACTTGTGCTTGTTGAATCATTAAAACTAGGACCTTACTTGTGCTTGTTGAATCATTAAAACTAGGACCTTACTTGTGCTTGTTGAATCATTAAAACTAGGACCTTACTTGTGCTTGGTGAATCCTTTTGCTTGAAGAATCTCATTAGCAACACCAACCCTCCTTCCAGACCTACAGCTGATTACCAGATTTGGGTCTTCAGGACTGGGTCTGGGGAACCCATACTTGGCCTTAAAGGACTCCTCTTCTAGTCCCAAGGACTCCTCCAGCTCCTGGACTGTTAGGAATTTAGAAACAGAACAATAATTGGGATGACCTCATTAAATCTTTACCTGCCTCAATTACTACTCCCCTTCATTATCCAGGAGTACTTAATCTTTTTATGATTACAGATCCAGTGGATTATCCAATATGTCCCTTTACCCCCTTCACCAGATTGTCAAAATCATTACCACCAGTGCTATTAGATACCAGTATGACTTCAAAAGATGTCAATAAATTGGTTTAACTTTACACAAGGATAGGTAGGAACAGAACAGCTGATAGTGTATTCTAATCTAACAACTTTTAAAATCGTCTAGTGATGGAGTTCCGAATCCCCATTACAGTGGACCCCCGGCATACGATGGCATCGGTATACATTAAATCCGGTACACGATACATTTAAATGCAAAAATTTTGCCTCGCCACTCGTTGAAAAAACCCGCCACACGCGATTCGACCAGGACACGTCCACGTGAGGCCTGAACTGCCCCGTGCCTGCCAGTGCTTACAAGCCAGCCAGTGTGCTCGCATCTAAGCATACATTCGGTACATTCCATATTATCACAGTGTTTTTGGTGCTTGTTCCTGCAAAATAAGTCACCATGGGCCCCAAGAAAGCTTCTAGTGCCAACCCTGTGGTAAAAAGGGTGAGAATTAGTATGGAAATTAAGAAAGATTTTGAAGGGTTTGGGGCTAACCCTGAGAAGCCTATGCCAGTTTGTGGAATCCATTGTGCCTACTTCAAAAATTAAGTAAATGTGTGCAAAGTGGGCTGAACTGCAAACCTTTATGGATGAAAATCACCCTAACACAGCTATTGCAAGCCGTGCTGGTGACTATTACAATGACAATGTTGTGGCCCATTTTAGACAAATCATAAAGGAACGGGAGGTACAGAGCTCCATGGACAGATTTGTTGTGTGACAGATGTCCAGTGACTCTCAAGCTGGTCCTAGTGGCATTAAAAGAAGGGACGTAACCCCGGAAAAGGACTTGCTACCTCAAGTCCTAATGGAAGGGGATTCCCCTTCTAAACATTAACAACTTCGACACTCTCCCCTCCTCGCATCCCATCAATCATCACCAGATCTTCATTAAAGGTAAGTGTCATGTATTCTATTGTTAGTAGAGTACTACTAACTGTGCATGTCTTCTTCAGTTTGTGTGCATTAAACTTAATATTTCATGTGGCAAAACTTTTTTTTTCATAATACTTTTGGGCGTCTTGCACGGATTAATTTGATTTCCATTATTTCTTATGGGGAAAATTAATTCCCTTCCAATAATTTTGGCATACGATGATCTCTCAGGAACGGATTAATATCGTATACCGGGGGCCCACTGTATTTGGTTCCCATATCCCCGGGGGGGTATGTACCACCAGTTAAGAATCCTGCCTTAATACAATACATAACCAAAGCTGCCAGACTCTGCAAGTCAGGAAGAATTCATAGTCTTCAACAAAATCATAATAACACAGTTGCAAACAAATAATAGTACAGGTGAGGCTTGAATTGTGCTCGAGCCGACTGGCCCAGTGGTTAACCCTTAAACTGTCCAAACGTAGATCTACATTCACTCGTGTGGCACTCCAAATATTTTGAAAAATAATTTTTTTTTTCCTTTAAAATGAAGAGCACATTTTCTACATGTTATAGGATTAAAAAAAAATTTAGGGTCAGTACTTACCGAGATATAAGACCGTGAAGTTGGCTCTGGATGCTCACTTGATGGCAACATCGACTCCTGCCGCTTGCAGAAGTGTTCCCAATATACCTTTTTCCCATTTTTATTTTAATTTATATATTTTTTATGTTCTGATAATTACAATTTATAATAGTTCTTGTAATTTCATAGCCAGTCTTTGTTCTGACACTAATATTAGGTACTGAAATAGTGCTCAAATAGTCACAATCACAGTGACAGGTGAACATTTACACCTGCCTGGGTTATTTACTATTGTCTAGAAATATATACAAAGTATTTATAGGTCCCAGCAATGTTTTAGATACCCTGGCATATACCTTGAAGCATGGTGTTATGAAAGGCATCCCTATACTGTTGACAGCCCAGTGACTTTTGATAAATGCCCACTGCTCCAGCTAACCCTCACTATATTTGTTATCACTGTTACACACAAACATGTCTTGTCTCTCTGTCTATTTATCTGTCTGTCTGTATCTGTCTATCTGCCTGTCTGTCTATCTGCCTGCCTGTCTGTCTCTGCTTATCTGTCTTTCTGTCTGCCTGGAGTATATGTATATCACACTCCTTGAAGAATGGTGTTATGACATCTGTTATCAGTTTGATGACATTTGATAAATGGGTGCTTGGGGGGAACCCTGGCTTTATTTTTCACTGATACACACAAACATGTTTCTGTCTGTCTGTCTGTCTATCTATCTATCTATCTATCTGTCTGTCTGTCTGTCTTTGCCTGGAATTTTTGGATTATCCTAAGTAATTTACACTATGTATAACTGTACTTATGTGTACATGTGAGACAGAGATATAGATAGCCAGAGATATAGATAGAGATATAGACAGATATAGATAGAGATACAGACAGATATAGACAGAGAGACAGCAGAGACAACCAAAGCAAGCCAGCCGGCCAGCTGGCCAGCCTGCCAAATACATAAGAACATAAGAAAGAAGGAACACTGCAGCAGGCCTACTGGCCCATGCTAGTCAGGTACATGTCACCCTCCCCCCGGCTTAGACTAATGACCCACCTAGTCAGGTCACATCCACTGAAGGAAGGAGCATGACATCAGACCTAGTAGCACAAGCTAGTCAGGTCCAACTCACACCCACCCACACTCACTCATGTATTTATCTAACCTATTTTTACTTCCTTCTTAAAATGGGAGTGTTAATGCGACATGGCATCACTGAATCCCTGGTGTTTGCCACGCTATTAGCTCTAGCTGGCGCTCAATTGAACTGGTGCTCCCACAAGGTACTAAGTGCTCCCAGATTTTTTTTAATAGTGCACACACTGAGTGCACAGACCCATTCTTTCATGTCTATGCGACTCAAACCTATTGTGCCAAATTTGAAGGAATGAAAAATAAAACGTTGATCTACATTTGGAATGCTACACGTGCGAACATAGATCTACGTTTGGACAGTTTAAGGGTTAATGCACTGGCCAGCGGTTTTTTGGACTTGCTTGCCATGGGTTCAAATCCCACCTGTTCCCTGATTTCATTGACTGTTTATCAGAGGCCCTTTTGGAAGGTAAGGTTCTGAAAGTACTCACCTATTTGTGATTGCAGGGGTCAAGTCATAGCTCCTGACCTTACCTATTCACTGGTCTCTACTAGGTCCTCTCCCTGCCCCATGAGCTTTATCATACCTCTTCTTACAGCTATGTATAACCCTCCCTACTACCCCCTTTCCCCAGACTTTCCATTCCCCTGACAACTCTTACTGAAAAAAATACTTCCAACATCCGTTTTTGACTCTTTGGGAGTTTCAGTTTCCAAATTTGTGACCCCTGTTTCTTTGCCCCCATCTCGGGAAACTCCTGTCCTGTCCACTTGTCATTCCTCGCAATATTTTAAATGTGTTATCGTGTCTCCCCTAACCCCCAGGTCGTGGGGCCCGATTTCCCTAACCTTTCTTCGTAGGACTTCCCCCTTTTGCTCTGGGCTACCCTTTGGCAAACCTTTGCCTTTCTCTAATTTTTTGACGTGCTTACCCAGTTTTGGGTTTCCCAAAAAAGGTGCCCCATACTCCAATATGGGCCCGACTACAGGTGAAACAGAGTTTGAACAATTCCTTATAGGTATCAAAACGCTTTTAGGTTTGCCAGGCGCTCATATGCTGGCGTTGGGGTTGATGGCCCCTTTAGGAGATGGCTCGTTTTATTATATCACCCCAAGACCCTTTTCCTTTGAGGGAGGGTTGCGTTTTTTGGCCCACCTTCCTATTCTTTCCCCTTTCCCCCGACCTTTGCATTTGGAGGATTAAATTTGGGGGCCAGTTGCGGACCAGGCTTGACCCTTACAGGCCCTCTCTAGCCCTCCTGATCCTCATCCGATTTAATTCTCTTCATTAACTTCACATCGGGAAACAGGGACACTATGAGTTTTCCCCTTTCCCATCATGTCATTCACATATCCCAAAAAACGCACGGGTCCTAGGCTGCCCCCTGTGGAACCCACTTGTTACAGGTCCCCTTGAATTTTGCACTTATCATTATCATTGTTGCTTCCTGCAGGTATTCTCTGATCCTTGCAGTGCCTTTCCCTGTTAGCGTCCCCGTCTTTAGTTTTTGCTTTTAATCTCTTGTGAAGAACTGTTTTAAAAGGTCCTTTTCACTCCAAACAATGCAATCTACCTCCCCTCTCCTTGGTCTTACTTCCTTTATCATAAAACTCCAGTGGGTTTGTGACACAGGATTTTCCTTCCCTAAAAACCGTGTGGTTTCGTTTATAAGTTGCCCCTCCTGGGTGCTCCACCACTCTCCCCCTGATGATCTCATGTTTTTGCATATTAACATCATGACAGGGTCTGTACTTTAATGCCTCATGTCTGTCTTTTTTCTTAAAAATTGAGATACTTTTGCTGTCTTCCATCCCTCGGGTATTGTCCCATTTTCAGTGATGTGTTGAAGTTTCCCTTTAGTGGACACACAGCTCTTGCTTTCCCCCTTTTAGGGGCCCCTGGAGAGATGTCTGGTCCCCCTGCCTTTTTAAGTACGTGGACCCCCGGTTAAAAATTAAACTGTTCCAGAGGTGTGACCAAAAAAGAATTTTAATACCGAACCCTTTTTTTCCCAAACAAAATAATTAAGTCCCAAATTTAAACCTTCCCGACACCCAAAAAATTAAAAAAAAATTTTTTTTTTTAAAGAAATTACATTTACCCCACAGAAAACAATGAACATGATAAAAATAACTGCATTACCTTTTTTTGGCTTTTTGAGTATGGAAGATGGGGGAGGGAAGAGGTGGAGGGTTCTTTGTTTGGAAGGGGGAAACCCCTCCATAAAAAAAATTAGGT